GCATCCTCGATTATATTGGACAGTTGTTGTATTGGCTGGAAAGTTGATTGAAATGGGAGTGTTGCAAAATTAAGGGGAAAGAGTATCGAGTAATGAAGTAGGGTTTTGTTCAATCTTGATATGAAGATTTTTGTAAAAATTTTCCTCATATGTTTAATTAACGTAATAGGTCTTGTATAATTAAGATCATTGTTATAATGCGCCTTTTTTGGGATAGGCCATATGTTGGATTGTCCCCAAAGTTTTGGGACTTCTTGTAACCTCAAGCATGCATTAAATATATTAGTTAACGTGTTAAGAGCTACATTAGGGAGATGTTTAAGAAGTTCATTGGAAATTCCGGAAGGACCGGGTGCTTTGTTATTAGGAGAGTTTTGTATACTTGCTGTAAGCTCTTCCCGTGTAATGGGGTTAGTTAGTGTATCGTATACCTTTGGAGGAATATTGGGCAAAGGTTGGTAATAGGTTTGCTACTCAATCTAATATTCTTCTTTTGTTGGTGTAAATCTAGTCCAATTTTTGTAATGTTCTCTCGTTGCTTCTTTTATTTCTTTAGGTATTGTTATGACTTCGTCCTGTTGTATTATCTTATCAAAGTTTATTCATTCATTCTTACGTTTAAGTATGCTGTCAATCATCGTGTAGTATTATTTTCTATGTCATCATGTCGTCTTCTAATGTAAAATCTATTTTTTCTTTTCGCTCTAGTTGTTTTTCTAGGTTTTTTGCCTTCCAGATAGTTTTCTTCTTGTTGTTTAGGTCTCTTAATATTGCTTGTTTATTTCGTATTATTTTTTTTTCTGTAATTTTCTCTAATTTAATATCTGTAAGGTTTTCAATTTTGGTCGTCTTTTTCTCTAATAGTTCTATAGTGTATGTAAGGGATAAGGGTGTGGAAAATCTTTTGATAATTGTAATCATTTTTTTTATATTTTTTAATGCTATATGTAATTTTGTTTCCTTTAGCAATAATGCATAAAATGGTTTAGGGGCTATGTATGAGAAAAGGATAAACTTGTTTGCCGCTGTCTTAATTACTGAGTTCTATATATGCCAAAGTTTGTTTAATGATGTCGTGTCGCTTAGGATATTTTGCGTAGCTTCGTTGTTTAGTTGGGCTGAGATGTGTTCTGCGAGATTTTCCCAATTTGTCTTTGTTGTTTTGTCCCATAAAAAAAACTTTTTGTTTTTTTTTTTTAGCTCTGGTCATGCATATAGAAAAGTTTGTATACCAGGAAGTTTTAATTATCATGTGATCACTATCCGTAATTTTGCTTGCTTCTATTAGTTCAGATTTTGTAAAGTCTAGGGCTATATCTGTGTTTGTCCATATATCATTGATCTGACTATTCAACTCATTTCGCTTCCATGTAGGTTCTGTAATTGCGTTTAGTTCTAGGAGGCTTGTCATATCTAAAGAATTTAGGGTTGGTATTATTGCTGCATACTTCCCTTTTCTGTGGCTATT